CAAGAGAGGCATGCTGTTTTTTGACAAAAACTGGCGCACTGAGATGGCTGCGTGAGCAGGTGCATTGTCGTGGTGGCAAAACCAGTCCCTGGTCTGCCACAAACAGGCCTTTTTGTCACACACCATTATGCAATCTTTTCAGAACCTCTAAAGAGGAAGCTCGATGAACAGTCTGACCTGGTGGAATGAACTGCAAATACACTACAAGTTGACATTTTTGTCTGGTCAGGAAGTTGACAGATGTCCAGACAAGTTTTGTCATCAATCGACATTTTACCTTTTTTGAAATGAGAAAACCACTCCTATATTTAAATTTTTCCCATAATGCTGTCCCTGTAAACTGTGTTCAACATCACAACATTTTCTGAGGCGCTTTCCCGAGCAGGAAACAAAATTTCACAGTCACATGCTGTTCTCTGAAATCACCCATCACAAAATCACAGCTTGAGCGAAACTACTGTTGTGGAAACATTCACTGTGATCAGAGAGAACTGGCCCGGGTGACGCCACTTGACACACTAACTCAGAGCGAATTATTTGATGTTCGCCTGCCAGAAACAAAAATGCATACTTTCTGTGTTTTGGGGAGGTACCCCTTGTATATTACATATCATTATATCACATAAATTTATAATATAATAAAAGCAAAGATCCCAAACCAAACTCACTGCCATCAAGTCGGTGCTGACTCACAGCAATCCTACAGGACAGAGTGGAACTGAGCCTGTGAGTTTCTGAGACTATAACTCCTATGGGAGCAGAAAGCTCCTTTCTCCCACAAAGGGGTTGGTGGTTTCAAACTGCTGACTTTGAGGTTAGCAGCCCTGCGTGTAACCACTACACCACTATGGCTCCTAATAAAATCCAAGATCAGAGGAGGGAATTGTATTAGAGCTTAAATTCTGAGCACCAGGTCTGCAGAAGGCTGTGCATGACAGTGAAAGCCCAAAATCCATTTGCAATGTCCACACTTGGATTAAGGTTCCATTGACTTCACTCAGACTATGGGCCAGAGATGTGAACACTCTTGACCTTACGCAGAGTGCATGGGAAGTGGATTCCTGTAGACATCGTTGCATTAAAATTTAATGCACCATCATTTGTTCCCTCTCTCTCCCTCGTTCTCTCTCTCTTTTGTAAAGCCCAGTAACCTTTATGAGGGAAAGGGCAATATTGTCTCCGATACTACACGCTATCTTTGGGAACCCTGGGAGGTCACACGGTGGAGCCTTGGGAAAGTTTGAGACAGAAAGTGGCTGCTTCAGAGGAGAGTGAGAAAGCATGTGGACAATGGCCAGAAAGAGGAGTCCATAGAACCAAAAGAGGAGTTCTAGAATGAGAAAAAAGAAGGAAGGAAGGAAGGAAAGAATGTGAGCCCTGTTCCTCTTTTGACCTTTTAAAAAATGTGTTCTATGAGAGGGGTTGGAGCAGAGATCCAAAGCCCATCAGTAGACAATGGAACATCCCCCACAGAGGGGTCACAGGGAAGGGATGAGTCACCAGCGTGCAGTAAAGCATCAGTGAAACACACAACACTCCTCTGGTCCCTTGAGGCTTCCTCACCCTCCACTATCATGACCCCAGTGCTGCTCCTCAATTCCGACTAGACCGGAGCATGGACACAGGTATAGAAAAGAGAGGGGGCCTCACGACACACAGAACCCAGGCACAGGAATGGGAAGAGAGGTACCCGATGGGAAGGGTGAAAGGGGCGGGGGGAAGGGGAAGAAGGGGAAACTGATCAACACACAACCACACACACCCCTCCTGGGGAAAGAACAACAGAAACCATGGGGGAAGGGAGACCGCGCTTGGTGTGAGACGTGGCAATAATAATGTATAAAATCTATGAAGGGGTCACATGGGTGGGGGGAAAGAGGAGCTGATACCAAGGACTCAATAGAAAGCAGCTGTCTAGAAAGGATGATGGCAACATGTGTACAAATACGCCTGAGACAATTGATGCATGGATTGTAATAAGCGTTGTAAGAGCTCTCAATAAAATGATTTTTAAAAACGGTTCAAGGTCCAATTCTACTTTTACTTGGATTGATATTTCCTGCGTGTTATTGCTGTCACTGTGGGTTTGGGTTGGTATGATTTTCGTGTTAGGGATGCCGCACACGCAAGCCCACTAGACTGGCCTCCTTGGGGGTCATGGTGGGGGGGGCACCACGGGCGCAATCAGGAGGCAGCTGTTCTAGACCTCATGGTCTTCATGGTGGTGACCACTGGGCATCTCCTTTTAACATATGTAAGCCACGGACCGTCAGCACGTGAATCATGTCAATAAAACTATCAAAACGGGCAGTTAGAAGAATAAAACAGCTACCAACCAACCCTCAACCACACTAGAAATCAAAGAAGGGAAAATTAAAAAGAGGGGAACAGAAAGGCCCACCTGTGCATTCCTTCAACCTGCGCACACTGCTGAGTCTCCCTTTGTCCAGGGAAAACAGAGGGGCCACCTGGGCAGCTCGGGAGGAGGAAGTGCAACATGAAGCAACAACTGGGCGCTGCGCTGAGCCGCTGGCCCAGGGATTAGTTACAGGAAAAGAAACAGAAATGGGCAACATTTGATATGGAAAGATATTCTTCACAGCATTGTTGATGCTGGTCAAAAAGAAAGAGAGAGAGAGAGAGAAAAGAAAAAGTGCCTATTTCTTCGGGCAAGAAGTAAATATCGGAGAATATCTATATAGCCACTAAAACATTTAATATCGAATGAACGCAATATTATTTTATATTTAATTCTTAATCGAGAATTTAAAAATGAAATGCTATAAAAATGCGATATAAACATTTGGCCACTGTAAAGATTTGGCTACATTCTGATGAGAAGATGAGGGCAATGAATGTACAAATGCGCTTTACACAATTGATGGATGTATGGATTGTGATAAGAGTTGTATGAGCCCCTAATAAAATAATTTTTTAAATGGCATTAGGTAAGGAGAAAAAGAAAAAAGTAGAAGAAAGGGAAGGGAAAGGGGGTTGGGGGAGGCGGGGAGGGAAGGAAACAGGGAAGAAAGAATGAAGGGGTGGAGGAACAGGAGGGAAGCACCAGAGAAAGCTTCAGGGGCGGGGCTGGGGGACACAGACCCCAGGCTCTCAGTGATTATCTCTGTACTGCAAGAAGTGCTGTTATTTTTATTTCTCCCATGTCCTTCCATATGTCTGTAAATTCTCTCCTGTGACTGTATATTATTTTTACAACCAGGAAAAACACAGTCACTTGTTAGAAGACTATTAAGGACAGAGAATTCCTCATGCGGCATCTCTATCAGTTCTAAAAGGCTTGGAGCCTGCAGACAGGGGGAGTTAAAATAATGAGGCTTTGGCTATATTCCCGGGATGCCAAAACAATAGGCTAGCTTTATAATTAACTTGAGAAGAAAAAAAAAATCAGTCGATGAGTTTTGAACAAGTTACCTAAGGGGCTGCAAAGTTCACTGTTGCATGCTGGAGACCCTCGTACTTCTCACAGGAAAAAACAAAACATGATGTGTCCCTTGCCAGCAATATTTTCTGAAAATGGTGCAAAAATGAACAGAGCTGTTTCTTGGGCCCTACCCGTCAGGGCTGGCATGGCAGACTCCTCTATCCAGCTTGATAAAACTTTGGGGCTGTAGACAGGAGCTCTCCCCAGGTGTGCCGGGCACACCCATGACCTGGCATCCTTCCATCCTTAACTAGTCAGGCTCAAGCCACTTCACCGGGGTTAATTTACACCTTTTTAAAAAGATGTAAAGAAAACGCCCTGTCTTCCCAGGGCTGAGTTTCCAAGAAGATGGGCCGCCCCATTTGTCTTCCTCCACCGCTCTGCTCCCCCGAGTCTGCCCATCGTTCGTGGCTTCCTTCCGGAGAACAAGGCCATTTAGAATCATGTTTACTGCTCCAAAGTCCATACTGAGGGAGGAGGTGAATGGAGATGCCCCAACAGGGCTTCTGAAAGTCTACTGGCCAAGACAGAGCTGGTGGAATAGACCACGGGGGGCTGAGTCGGCACAGCGGCGTCCTGCCGGGCCCTCAGCAGCAGCAGCAGCAGCTAGAGCTGTGGGCTACCGCGTCTCCGATGTTCATGCCCTGGAGGGATCTACCTCTCCGAGGTCACAGGCTGAGGACAGCAAGATCCGATCTGCCAATGACCAGTCCTGTCTACCTCGATGCCTTGTGCCTCTCACTGGGCCTTCTTAAAACAAGCAAGCAAGGGAAATAGGTCATTTAACTGTGCACCTGTCATTAGGAGTAAATTAAAAAAAAAAGAGTGGCAGCCTCCTTTACTCATTTCCTGTTTCAGTACTCCATTAAATTATAAACCAAATCACCACTGTCTCTTAGTAAGAGGCTATATTTTGGGCCGGGGTCAGCCAAGTTTTCACTCTTATAACCGGGTGATGCCATCAAAGGCTGTCTATAGAAAAAGAACGTTTGAAATCTGTGGTAGCAAATGGACAATTCTACTGGAGGTGATTAAACTACGGAATGATTTGATAGATGCATTCATCCCAATTAATAATAAATAAATTATTAATCTACAGTCATGTCAGCTACTTGCCAATCTCAAGGAGCATAGCTCTACTCTAAACTCTACCCTCATCTTTAACTCCCTTCACTTGACCCCAACATGCATAGACTTTTTTGCTCTTTAATGAATGGTGCCCCTCTTAGCACAGGCAAGTCTGTCTGGGTCGACAGGCTCCAAGACAGAATTCCACGAGCTTCCATCTGGCCCTGACCTGCTTCTAGGGCCTGAGAGCAGAACTTCAGAAGGAGGTACTAACAGCTGGTCACATTTCCCTGATTTCCATTTTTTTTTAAATTTTACATTCCAAAGAAATGACAGGAGCCTCTGCACAGGGCATTGCTTTTGACAGAATGAAAATAGGAAGAGGCTCTATAAATATTTCCAGAACCTCCCAGTTTGGCACATGGCAACAGGTGGTCAATGGATCCTCATGCTTGGATATGTTACAGCGGGACTTTCGGAAAAGACTTACTGGGTTGTACATCTGATTGAACAACTGCTCAGCTTGCTACATGGCAAAGTGGGGAGGCATTGGGGCACAAACAGAGAAAGAAGGGAAAATCCAGGAAAACAGCATTAGCGCAACACATCCAGGGCATTCACATAGACGACTGCTCGTTCAAAACGAAGACATTTCAGTTCCTACAAATTCCATGGTGGAAGTGAGAGGCTCTGGGGATATACAAATGTTGACTTTGGCGGCTAAAAAAGAAGAGCTGGAATCAGAAATGTAAGGTTTGTGTTACTTTCCCTTTCTCAAGGTAAATCACCCACGAAATAAAGAACGCTGTCCACTTTGGCTGATGCACGAAGTGCTGGCCTCTAGGAATGAGTCAGAAGAAGTGGTTTTGGCCAAGCCTGCGATTTATCACCTGAACTTCAAAGAGGGTCCTAATTAAAAGATTAATTAAGTCTTATCACTGAATTTATAGCTCTTCTTTTACATTCACACAGCCTGAGTTTTCTGCGCAGTCTAACTTGGGGGTGAGATACAGAGCAGCAAACAGCAGGGTAACAATACTAAAATAGCAGTAAACAAGGCATGATAGTTTAATGGTAAACTGGAAGAGAAAAAAATTGAATCAGCCAGAAGATGACAGGGAGCCAAAGGACAGGCTTATCCATGGCCCATCACCAGGCTTGACTGTGATTTCAGAATTAATAAAAAAACATTATTTTCAAAGACCTTCCCCTTAGGTTCTAATGCTTCAGAATGTTCTCCTGTCCCTTTTGTGCAGAGTATTTGAGCATTCGTGAGTTTCAATGTACCAAATAGCACGTTCAATAGCTCTCCCCATTTATATTTCTGGAATGGCTGGCCCATTGGTTTGAGACTTGGGGTCCAGGTGTAGAAGGGGAACTATATCACGGGAGCTGTAATATAAGCGGAGACGTGACGGGCTTTCAAGAGCCTGGATTTCTTTTTCTTCAAGCTCTGATGAAATGGGTAGTGATTTTATCAGAAGAAAATAAAAGCCTCTCCTCAAACGGATGCTAATTGGGAAATGGCCGAATAGCACAAATCTTAATGCCTCAAATGATGGTGGCTACTCCGTTGGTCCCTAATCATCCAGTGCACTGTTACTTCAGTCTGGGCCACCAAAGAGGCTTCTGAGAGACAAAAACGATCACTAAGCAGAGTCTTTCAAAGCGCAGGCATCACTTTGTCACGGATGCCCGCCCCTGTCCCGTGTGCTGTCCAGCTGGGACCATTTGGTCAGCCTCATGGTCACGGTATTCCTCCTACAGGGCCGCGGGCTTTCATCCTTTAGAGGAGGTAGAAGGGCACGTGTCAGAGAAAGCTTGCTTATGACCTCACACTAGTTCCCATGGCCACGTGTGTACTTGGGCATGCACAGGGCTGAGGGTGACGATCGCTGTGACTGTTATCCACAAACGTGCACGTCAAGACTCACTTCCCCAATGTCCCACTGTGCATAACGGGAGAAGCAACTGAAGTCAGCTCCTGGGTTCCACTGTCACCGACAGACAGGGCTCTGTCCTGCTAAACACACCCACGGTGTGGAGCAGATTTCTTTCTTTTTTTTACGGTGAAAATACTTGGATGATGGCAAGTCTTGAGCGACTTCCCACTGGAAGCTGCTGTTGTGTTTACAGCATACTAGAACGATTGAGTTTTTGGCTTCCATTTAGCAAAGGGTTATATTTTATTCGTAAAGAGCACAGCTTTTTATTTACAAGGAGGCCCAGACACTCCTACTTTTATCACTGCTTGTTTTTCCAGCAGCAAATGATGTGTCTATACGCACATTCATATACTGGTGACGGAGAATTTCAAATAGTTCATGTAGATCCCAATTTTTTTTGAGGCAATGGGCACTTGAGGTTTTTACCAGACTATTTATTAACAAAAATTAAAAGGCTATGGGAAGAAAATATTTCCAGCTTTTGAATTTAGCTGATGATTGAGGGCCAAAACCAACAAAATGGCATCTGTGGGTTACCTGTAAAAATATTTAAATGACAATTACCCTATTTAATCTCACTGCAGTATGTGTGTAGGTGATGGTAGAAGCCAAGGTTAGGTACATACTTGAAAACAAGTTACCTTTTCATGAACTAAATAGGTCCTTCACAGAAAGACAATGATTAGCTGTCAGTTTGCTTTTGGTGAAGTGTCTGAAGGCGAAGATGCTGTCAGAAATGATGTGACAGTGGGCACAGCATTTGGTCAGTGCATTTCAGTCTCTGGCATCAGCCACAAAGTCCCTTGGGGAAACCAGAGCTATGCTGAAGGAAGCCAAATTGGATTGCATGGATGGCAATTTATTGGAGGAGTCAAGTCTTAGACAGGTACATTCTGAGGATAAACATTTAAACCTTTTTGCCTCATTACTAGAGGATTTCGAATTTCAGAGGTGATAGATGCTACAAAGGAAGGTGTTGGGCCTGGGCCTGTCCACATCCAGCTTTATCTGAGGGGCTCTCTCTTTCAGACTCGGCCCACTGGGACAACCAGATTGAGCCAACGATTCCTCTCTGGTAGAGTTACCTTAGCACTACTTTATGATTATAGAGCTGCATTTTATTTAATGTGCAACACTTCGAGGTTTATTTATGGATGTGCGCCTGCATGTATAACACACAACACACCTGTGTGTGTGCCAAAAGAGGCTATCATGCAGCCCAGCCAATCTCCATCAAAAGTGTCTTCCATTATGTTTTACTTTTAATCCACTGCTGAAGAGTGGATGCGGATCACGGTGACCTGATAGGCTGAGTAGAACGGCTGTATAGGGCTCCCAAGGCTGTAAATCTTTCCATGAGGAGGCTGCCCTATCTGTCTCTCCGGCAGACGGGGAGGGTCCAAACCACAGACCTCTTGGTCCACAGCAGAGTATGTTAGCCACAGCACTACCAGGGCTTCTCAAACGGGTGAATTAAACCCTTGTGTTGTTTGAGTTTCCTGTTCAGCTAACTATTATTCAGAATACGTGGCTCGGGAAATGGATTTTGCAACACAAGACACTCTTGCTGTTCTGCTACAGAGGAGTTTGATCCTCTGTCTCTGTGTTTGCATCTTAATGACTAGGCTTGAGCAGTATGCAACTGCTTAGGGCCAGTTCTTAAGATGTCCTGGTAAAGTGAGCATGGCCCAGCCACATCTCAGTGACATCTTGGCATCAGACACAACACTATTGGACAACATGAAATGCGTAGAATAATTCCTCGATAGGCACGTTTCTTTCCTATCTCTGTCCATCCATGTCAGATACTTTCATAACCCAAGCAAAGACATCCCCATCCCACCCTGCTACGAAGTTCACAGAGTCAGATCGTACAATGTGCTTTATTGGACAGTTTGGATGCGCATCATTGCTTGTGAGTGGGCGTGCCAACTGCCAAAGGCAAACGGAATGCTCACACTCGCAATGCTGTGAGTCGGATGTGGACGATGAGTGCAGACATACCAAAAGACACAGGAGAGTCAAAGGGACAACGCATGACAGAAACGCCCGGGTCGGAGAGAACACGGGCTGCCTCCAGGGAAAGACGCTTCGTCCATGTCCAAAGCCTCCTCCAGGGGCAAGCCTCCTGCGCCTCGCAGCCGTTTCAGGCCAAGTAGAAGTCATCCTTTCAGAGATGCTGGGGATTTGACTTGGGGTGGGGGGTGTCTAGAAGTTTTAAGTTTCTAGGCAAAGCTGTTGCAAGGTTCCAATAATAATAATAAAAAATCTGACCCACTCTGAAAGGAGTTTATCAAAGTCTAATGGGCCCCTAGACATAGGCTGGTTGCAAACATTTCCATTTATCTTTCTGTGATAGCTGAGCTTTGCCCGTGAGTAGCAGCTGGCTTATATAACAGGCTTTTCCTTCCACTACATGATTTTCATCTATGTTTCCAGCTTTCTTCAGACAGGAAACCTAAGATAATTTGTCAGGTTCACAGGCAGATTTGATGCAGACTTCTCAGGAGTGAAGTTCAGGGTTGCATTTTTTAATCAGTAGGCAACCACAGATAAGGGGCTTGTTTCTTTTGAAAAAATGTCTCCTCCCTCCCAGCCCGTTTTATGAACGCACATTAAAACGAGCAGTTTCCTTTTGTTCTCAGACATCGCTTACCTTTTTCAACTGCGCCTCCAGTTTGCTGCATTCCTCCTTCTTTTGTTCGATGGCGATTTCTAGAGATTTTAATTTGGAGTCCCTCTTCAGCCCTGCCGAGGCTAAGGAGGACGCGTGCTCCTTGAGGTCGATCAGGCTAGACTGGAAGGGAGAGAGGGCTCATCAGTGAAGCCCGCCCAGCCATCCCCGCCACGCCTTCAAGTCTGCGCACAGGGATCACACACACAACAGTCAAGTGCAAGGGTGCACAGGCCTTGCGGTGGTCGACTCCGGCCGGGAAATGAAAGTTGGCCAGCTGACAGACCCAAGCGGGATCTAATTGCAGCAGAATCCAGGTGACCCAACAGTGTGGGCAGTGAATGCCCGTTTCACATCTCAGAGGCACACTAATGATGTCAGTCCCAAGGTGGTCTTCACGCGTCAGGACAAACAGACCCTGGCCCTTCCGTTTACATTGACTGCTGTCAGGTCGTGCAGACTGGGGGAGGAACAGGACGGAAAAACCCAACTTTACTGCTCCCCTCCCCACAAAGCCACTTAAGCATAAAATAGGCATCCCATCAAATGTTTACCCCCTCGCTTGCTTGCCTTTAACCGAAAAGTAAGTCATCAGTGGTTTTTCAAACATCTTCTGGAGGGGGTAATGGTAAAATTATCTTAAATATGAGAGTAAAGTAGGGTCTATGTTCTATTCCATCTGAAATCCCAAATTCAGACAATATGAGTCTCCCTACTCAGTCCTGCAGTTACTTAAATTGTTCCATTCATCCACCTTGCCTACAAACTAAAAGCGATCCTACCGAATCTGAATTCTAAAACTGAAGGCTATACACCCTGGTCTACAGCTCTGAACACAGCTCTATAACTGAGGAGGGCAGCGTTTACCACTGAACTTGAAATGCTTAACACCGTCTGGCTAGGTGGACAATTACAGGTGGGGATCTATGGCCATCCCAACTGCATTGCGAGCTCCCTGTAGATATAAACTCTGAGCTGCTGCTTTTAATACATTTTACATTGTCTAGTGTGGTGGTTAACTTTATGAGACTGCAGTCCCCAGTTATTCGATCAAACACCAGTCCAGTTGTTGCTGTGACGGTATTGATAGGGGGATGAACCTCCACCATTAACTGACCGTCCACAAAGGCCGTGACCCTCCATAACCTAGAAGGGTTGATCCAGCCACTTGAAAGGCCTCGCGAGTGGACTGAAGAAAGACATCCCACCCGTGGACGGAGCATACAAGCGCCCACATGAGGGGGCGTCACAAAGTCTGCGGCATCATACAATGAAAAAGAATAGAATTTCCCCATGAATCTGTGAAAACGCTCATCGGAGATCCATGCAACTCAAGCCCGGTCTAGGGCACTGCTTTCACCGAAGGCCCCTGCTCCCCCAGACCAGCAAGACCTCTCATCAGTGGGCAGCGCGTGACTGATTTGAAGGCACAGGAGAAGCATTTTACTAATGAGGTCCAAGGGCGGCATCTTTTCTTATTCAGACTCCAGCGCTTACAGATGACCCAACTCACAGTTAGCAGCGAGGGAGGAGCAAGAGGACCAGCTTCTTTTGTCCCTGAAGCACAGAAATGATTTTTTCTCTCCAAAACGTGAGGGAATACGGATTTTACATCTGGGTTTACTCAAAACGTGCTCTTGCTCACAGATTCATCTGGATTCTTCACTTAGACACTGCGTGGATTTGTACAGAATTATCAAAAAGCCAAAGAGCCTACAAAATCAACCCTGCAGGGCTGGCGAGTAGTCCAGCCAAGCAGACTGGTCAGCAGGGAGGGGCTGCCGAAGACGGCCCTAGAGGTTTGACTGCCGAGAGCGTGCAGGGGTCAAGGGTGGACACCAGTGCTGATCTCGGAGGTCAAATAGAATGATGTGCACCTCTGCTTTGGAAACGTCCCCACAACTGCAAGGAGGGTGGAAAACCTATTCGATGGAGCATGGAGGAATCCAGCCCAAAGTGTCCTCTCCGTAACCCCTAAGGGGAAACTGTCCGTGACATACACTGTTTGACCTGAAGAACAGAGGTAAGATTTGAATTCTACGTCTATGCCTGACTCTTAAGAGACCTGACAGGGCAGAGAAGGGCTGTCCTCGAAGGCTTCGGAGATCATGCATCTTGACGGGAGCAGACAGTCCAGTCTTCCTCTGGGGGAGGGGCAGGTGGGTTTAAACCACTGACCTTGCAGGGAGCAGTCCAACTTGTGGCCCATGACGTCACCAAGGCTCCTTTGTGCTTACACTAGCAAAGGGATGCTTTTTACAATGGCTAACCATGATTTAAAGTAATATCCTGAAAAGTAGCCACGTTTGAGTGGTACCTTTCCATCCCACTGGTGCGCCTCCGACCCTCAGGGGCCTCAGGGGCATCCTCAGTTAGAGAGGAACGGAATGGGTGGAAAGCACCTCTAAGGTGTCTGGAACCAGGCCAGGCTGGGGTTATCCTTCCCAGTGCTCTGCTGTGGTTGGGGGTCTTTGAAAAGTTACGGATCCTCTACTTCACACAAGGGTGCTAAGATATAAAGAAAAGCTTCAAGAAGTAGATCATGTGAAGTTAGCAAGAGTAGAAAGCAAACACGGAGGGCCTCGTTGTTGAAAGGGGTTTCCGGGAAACACTTTCTGTTAAATTTGGGTGGATTTACAGAGCAGGAGGGACCATGATCCAGAGTCTTCACAGTGAAGTCTACCAGGGCCACAGTGAACACGGGCAGGGAGGCTCCCTTGGTTTTGAACTCACCTCTTTCTCAGTCAGCTCAGCTTGTAAAGCATTGGCCTTCTCTTTCAGGTCTTTGTTCTCTTTCCGGAAGGACTCGATCTCTTCTAGTCTTTCCCGATCGTCTCTCTCCCGCTGTTCTTTCAAACGCTCGATGATTCTCTCCTGTGAGTCAATTGTCACAAAAGAACAGACAAGAGCCCATCATTGGGCATGTCAAGGCACACTGCACAAGTTTGCAAGGCACCAAACATGGAAGCAGAAGCAATCAGTAGAAGGCATGCTCTAGGCGTGACATGTAGAAGAGAGTCAGCACTGGGAGAGAGGCTGCCTAGAACTGCATTCGGAAAAGAGACTCCGCATGAGCAGGCGTGTGTTCCTGGAAATTAGCAGGGCAGGGTGGCAAGGGGTCTTGGAGACACAGCTTAAAAGCCCTTCGTGGTTCATGGTGGTATCTGGAAAGTTCCAGAACAGGGAGGCACAGGCGTTACCCCTGATTAACAAGGGAAGAAAAAGAAGCCCGCTGAACCCTTGGCTCAGGCCCCTGTGCTTGGGCACTTGACGGAGCTCCAAAGAACGTACGAACCTTGATTTCTGAAGACTCTTCTCTGGTTACACGGGGGCTCCAGAGGGGCACGGACACAGGCCCTCTAGGACTTAGGGCAGAACTCACAGTAAGCACATCAGAGAAAAGAAAGAATGAGCCTATGGTGCATTCAATTTCCCATGTGTCTGGAGAGTTTTGCTTCCATGTTTTTTCAGTGGCTTTTTGGCATTCAGAAGATAAGCCAGACCATTGGCTGAAAATAAAATTTGAACCTCAGCTTACTGGATCCCTGTGAGGCTCTGTGATAGGTGTTTCTCCTCTAGTCCCCACCACCTCTGTAAGATCTCGGCCAGTGTTCCTGGGATGGCAACTGGGTGAGCAATCTGAGGCTCAGAGAGACCATCTGAGATGGCCTAAGAGGAGCCAGCTCCCAGAGAGACACTCAGTCTGGTATCCATGTCTCTGGCACAAATGTGCCTTGAAGCCATTCAAGCAGGTACAAGGAGCTACCTGCTATGACGCTCATACTAAAATGAAGACAGGGCTTTGAAAGAAACGTTCTCTAGAGTACGGCCCGTATGGATGTCAGCAATCCCCAGATGGCACCGATGGCGAGCACCAAGCCACTAACTGAAAGATCGGGGTGGTTTGAATTCCTCTGCATTCGCCTCGGAAGAAAGAGCTGGCAACCCCCTTCTGAAAATTCAGCCATTGAAACCTGTGTGGAGTACAGACCCTTCTTATGCTCCGAGGGACACCATGCGGGGAAATCAACTGGACAGCAGCCGGTGGTGCCAGAATCAAAGGGAGCCTTTTTGAGGACCCTAGTCTCCGGGGTCACCTAGGCCAAGTGGAGTAATGTAGCCCACAGGAAACCTGCTCCACTTCTGGGTGGGTAGCAGCTGATGTCTTAAAGCTGGTGAGAACTTTTAAGGTTATGTTGGCCTCTCCCTGTCCAGAAGAAGGATGAGTGATATAACATGAAGATGCATGTAAACTGTGAGTCAGTCTGCGGGACTCCTGGACCACACACAGCACTCTGTCCCTACAACCCACAACCCCAAGACCAGAAGAACCAGATGGTGCCCGGCCATCGCAATCAACCGCTCTGAAAGGGAGCCTAATCATTAGAAGGCGCTGGATAACGTGGGAGGGGAAGCTGGAACAAAACTCAAAATCATTTAAAAAAAAAAAGACCAGGCTGATTTGTCCTATAGAGACTGGTAGATCCCCCAAGACGATGGCTCTTAGTTACCCCAAAGACCTGGAAATAAATTCCTTGTTTGACTCAATTAGACAGGTGTATAAGGAGTACCATTTTAATAGTGAGGTATGCATGCATTAGAATAGCCACTATTAGAGATAAAAAAGGCAGCATCCACCCAGGGGCAAAGTTCCTCTGGGCTGGGGAAGGAGGAGGAGCGGAATGGGAGATGGGGCCGGAAGTGGGATTCGTGAGTTTCATCCTGGGAATGGCCGTCTGCAAGAGCAGGACAGTGGAGCATGCGCTGATGAGAGGAAAACCGATCTGCTTTCCACCCAGGGTACAAGAAAGCGTTTAAAGCGACCCTCCAGGCATCCACGGTCACAAGTTTGTGAGGTGCTCTTCCTTCGCCGTGAGAGAAGCATCCATTAAGTAGGTCTTGAGTTAGACTTCAGAAATTAGTTTCAACACTTCCCTGAACTTCCTTTCAGATGCCATATTATATATATATGTATGTATGTGTGTATATATATATATATAATCAACTCCAGCTAATGCTTCTGAGTTTATGTCTTATATACTTCTAAGTACACAGCATTAGACAGTGCCTGATGCAGAAGACAATCGTAAAACAGAGCCTAAGGCAGGGGCAGGTTAGTCTGAACACTGGAATTGTGATTTAAGATCCCCTGAGGAAGTAACTGTTCTCCTCCAAGGACAATCATTTATGTGTCCAATACTTTTGGTGGGGGTGGGAGAGGAGGAGTATATGATTACTGTTTTACAATTATTTAAAGATACTTTAAACAAAGTATATCATTACTATGGCGGGGGTATAGAAAAAAAATGAGTCTATTTAAACTGTCTGTAGTTTTTTTCTTGATTCAAGTTACAGTATTATTTTACCCCACCTTCAATGCATGGCCAGGGGGCAGATGACCCCAGATCTGCAGAGGGAGGAGACAACTCCAGGGCACGGGTGGGTAAGCGTCTCAAGGGCTCCTCACAGATTCACCAGCATGGTCCTCACTGTGTCTTGCCTCTAATGGCTGTAAGCATCTTCAGTTGTCACAAGGCCACCCAGGACTCTCCATAGCATCCCTTCCGCTGCAGAACTATTGGAAGGACATCTCTACAGGCCCAGACTGGCTATGTCACTGCATTGTTTGTTAGGCAACCTTCCTAGATGTGTTAATCCAGGTAGACTAGAGAAACCAATTCACAGACACTCGTATGTGTATAAGAAAGAGCTTTCTATACAAGAGCAATTGAATATTGAGAAACCATCCCAGTTCAGTCCAGATCAAGTCCATAAGTCCAATATCAGCCCACATGTCTGATATCAATCTATAAATCCCTCTTCAGATTCACACAACACATGCAATGATGCCGTCTGCAGGAAGATCACAGGCCAGCGGCTGGAAAGCCTTGTGGATCCGGGGCTAGTGAAAGAATCTCAGTGCTGGCAGGGGTCTCCACATGGTTCCTTCAGCTCCTGGGCTCTTGGAAATGTCTCACATGGAATGTGTGTGTGCCGCCTCCATGGAGCTAGTAATCTCCTTAGTGCCTCAAATGAGGTCATCGATCTGCAACCTGATTGACAGGCTAAACTCCACCCCTTCACTCTTAAGAGTCTCAAACTGACAACAGATGATGTAACTACCACACCAGGGATGCCCCTCACCAGGCCCTATGCATTTTTGCCACTCAGACCCCCTCCATGGTCCTCCTGCATGCCCATCCTCCCAGCCGAGCTTCCCCAGGGCAGCACCCAGTCCAACGACACTTCCTCACCCAGGGCCAGGCAAACGCTCTGTCAACAATTAACAAGACGGCCGAGGAGCGTTGTTGCTGTGAGTAGGTGCCGCTGATCTGAGTCCCAGAAGTAAACCAGGGAGGGGCTGCAGGAGGGGTCTTTCTTTCTGAGACAATTTATCAATTTATTTCTTTACTATCACGTTTCTACTGCATAGTGAAAATTACCAATTTTTTAAAAAAATGAAAGAATCCTTTTCTTGGAGACCCCTACAGAGAGCGTAACAATCCATAGGGTTCTTCAGGCTGCGATCTCTATGGGAGCCCTTGGCAGGCTTTCTCCCATGGAGTCACGGGGTGGTGTTGACCCACTCACCTTTGGGTTACCAGCCAAGTTCCTCACCATTGCATCACGGGGCTCCATAGATGAATGAGACATAACCTGTAATGAGGGGCCCTTTGGCACACAAGGTAATAGAACGAGATGTGCATGGTGACAGTCCCATGGTGTCAGGGACATTGGGACAGCAGGTTGTTTTTGCTCTGAGCACTTACATTATCGACTGGGCATTGATGACAAAAAAATCAGCAAGTGCTATTAATGTAGTTAAGTGTTATTGATGATTCAATACTACAGCATACCCTCCGTCAATCACAAAACTAATTTAGCTGTCAGCCGCACAGGGCCAGATGTCAGAAACATGTGTTAAAAGGCCCTAATATGCCATGATCTCCTTGATTAACAACTAACTTGCAGAAATTCCAACAATGTGTTCTTGTTTTAGTCTTATTTGCATTGGCAACTCTCCTCAGGCCCTCCGCGGGCTCTGCACAGGCCTAATCTATTTGTGCTTCATCACGGGTGGGAGCTGAATGGCAGTGGCCCCCCCTCTGCTATCTGGCCTTCTCAACTGCTTATCTGCCGTCTGACTACCGCCGGCCTGTCAAGACCAGCCTTATCAATGCCCTGGGTTCCGACACGGTGCTTCTGTGTGTCAATCCCAGGACTAAGTCAAACTCAATCTTCGCTGGCTGAGCCGCAGTCTTGCTTTGCTCATTCCGAATGTTTAAATAAGTTCCCAGAAATTAGAAGGGATGCTCCCGGGGAAGCCACCATCAAAGGGCAATGATGAACTGTGCCTAAGGGGCTCCCGTCAGCGGCCCAAAGACAGCAGACAACGGGACGAATGCACTGTTGTCCTTCGTGTGCTCCGTTCAGTCAAAGGTGGATCCACATGGAACCCTGGGAGGAACGGGCCTGTCCTGTTGTCCAAAATACAAAAGGTCTGGAAGTTTCCTTTTAATCCCATCCCATTATCCATAAGCTGGGTGGCTGCACGGCAGTCCAGGGGATGCAACAATGTCCCATCCCAGGGCCCACAGGGCCAGAGTAAAAGTGGCTTCCTGGAGAGCCAGGTTGGAAGCGGACCCGTGCCACCGTGGATTCATTAAGTTTGCCCCAGCCAAGACATGGGGCATGGAGCTCTATGTGGCCGGCGTTTCCCTTTCTGGATAAGTCATTTCACCTGGTTGAGCTCGTTTGCTATCTTAAAATAGAAGAGCCCCTTTGGAGGGCTTCCCAAAGTGTGGTCTTCTGTGGCGCTTCTGCATCAGAATTCCTGGGTGGACTCATTGAAAATCCAAGTTCTTATCACAGGATCGTGTGGAAGAGCAGGTCCAAGCTCTTGGTCCAAAGTGTCGGGGGCCATGCAGACCAGAGGCACCGGAGGCTGGGCTCAGAGACTCAGAGGGGCACCTTCTCCTCACCTGGCCGGAGACAACGAAACTATGGCACAGAGCACAGGTGTGCTGGCTTCCCGGCTAAGAGAGCATGTGGCTGGGAGACAGTGGGCCAGAGAAAATGACCACTGGCTGAAGAGGGGCGTTTGCTGTGACTGACTGAACCCTGACTCACCAATTGTGGGGGTGGAAAACCCCATGTCCTCCCGTCTATCAGCTGAGAAATCCAATCAGCGTCTGTAGGAGAGGAATTGCAGGAGACTGTATTCTAAGAAGCGTCCTGGTGGATGAGACGGTTTCAGTGCACACGGAAGTGTGATGCCCCTGGAATGACACCTTAAGCCCAAACCCATCTTTGTCCCATGGCCCAGCGCGTCACCAGTTGCTAGGCAGCATTTTTTGTGGGCTTTGTCAGTAGACTCATGTTCTGGGCAGTTTGGGGGTAATTTCTTCCAAATAAATTACTCTGTGTTTGCTTTTATTCTTCATTGCTGTGGAAGGCTGAAAATTAGATGCAAATATAGGTAGGAAACTAATGGGTCATGGGCCAAAGCCAGCCCGCAGAGGTATTTGGTTTGGCCCAAGCACTATGCTTTCTGCAAACCCAAATCCGTTGGGGGCAGATAGATGCTTTCCAGCTTGCCACAGTCGCCTTCCATCCTGACCGTCCTACACCAGACACCCCCTTCGTGCTTGTCCCCCGTGAGCCCTTTCTAGGGATCTTTCCGATGCCTCCTCTCTGGGACCACTCCAATTTCACGTGTGTGAGATTTCAGAGCAGCACCTACGTCTTTGCCGGGATCATTCCCGAAGAGAACAGAACTCGCTGTGCCTATCTGCTGTCTGGTCAGTGCCAACACATGCGTCTCGGTGGAAAACGGAGCCAGCTGTTGGCGGCTCTGTTGCCATTCTCATTGTCTCCAGCAAGACCCCCTGCATGAAGGAGACTGGATATATAAAGCCCTTTCTTATATATAAAGCCCTTTCTTATACACATATGTGTGTCTGTGGATTTGTTTCTCTTGTCTACCCAGACTAACACAATCACCAATGGCCATTTCTGAATTTCCCAACAATGTCTCAGTCTCCTTGTCTCAAACCGATGCCTCCCATGCAGGTACAAGCTGCACGGTGAGGCAAGAAGACCGAGGCAGAAGAATGCAGTGGAAGTAGGGCACCAACAAGGAATGTGAGTGGCCCATGAACTCAGAACAACAAAGGCATCTGGTTTGGAGACAGTACAATGAGAACAGTCCTTAAAAGCAAGGATGGGGAAACTTCATCTCGCAGACAGTGGGCGTGTGATCAGCAGAGCCCAGCCCCCAGCCTCTGACAAAGGACACCAAGTTTGGAGTAGAGGGGCAGTGAAAAGGAGGAAGCCTTTCGCTGGGGTGGGCAGAGACAGCGGGGGCAACGGCCCAGGCACCAGGCAGTGTTGTGCTTGACTGTACATAGGGTGGCCATGAGTCAGAATCGACTGGATGGCGCCTAACAATAGAAATACAGCTTCCTAAGCAACAGATCAGCCACCCCACTGCCCCTACCAGTTGCCACAGGGACACCTCAACTACCAGCAGGTTCAGCCACAGGAGATCGGCTTCAGCAGCGCTTCAAGGATAGGAGGACCACGTATCTGGTGACCGGCTTCCAAAACCTTAGGGATCCCAGGAGAAGAGTGGCTCTGGCTTTGGACACAGCGTGAGGGGGATCGCGTACTTTAGCAGGACACCATGTGTAGTGAAAGGCAGGACCAGAGGAGGAGTGGAGGGCCCTTGGTGAAACAAAGGACTGCCGAGTGGTGGCAACCATGACTCCAAACACCTTGGGGACTGGGAGGGTGACTCGGGACTGGGCCATGTCTCGTCCTGCTTTGTAGAAGGTGTCCCTGCGTTGGGGTTCACTTGAGGGCAGCTAACAGCACAATCATGGTTTTGGTCCGGTCGCTACAGGACGGTCCTGATGATTTAAATGTTCACCTGGCCTTTCCTGGTGAATTGGAAGGAATGGGGCAGGACGCCCCTTACAGGGACAATGGGCTGGAGTACTATGGGCCACTTCACTTCACCGCTGCCGC